AGAGCTCCGGAGTAATTCTGTTGCACCATGAAATATTTTGCCTATAGAAAGTGGGAAGGGGGGATGAGGAGAGAAAAAATATGTATCATTTGAAATAGGTACTTGAGTGGATGTATGCCACCGCAGTCAACACAAGATATATACCACTTTCTGTGGCCAGTTCATAATGGAGTCACATCACATTCACCTATCCTGGATTTTGCCAGCAAAATCAATCCAATATAGTTTTGTAGTCAGAAGGCAGCTACCCGGTGAGAGATGCCTATGGCAGGAGTTTCATTTTTAAAAAAACAAGTAAGGCGTACACATGCTGTCACCAATGTGGCAAATATGAAGTAGAGTTTCAGTCAATCACATTTTATTTTTAAAGAATAATAAATAAATAAATAAATAAATAAATAAATAAATAATTTATATCCCCCCCCCCAGCCAAAGCCGGGCTCAGAGCGGCTAACAACAGTAAAATAATACTGTTTTTAAGAGGTTTTAAAAATGTTTTTGTTTTATCACTTATTTGCCATCCTGGGCTCCTCTAGGAAAGGTCTTAATAAAAATAATGGCAGCCCATTTTTTTCATCATGGCCTTATCAAATGATATTTTTAGAACTAGATGAGTTATTTTGTTGGTATGTTGGCTTGTATGTTTCTTGGTTAAAATCTGATATGTTTCAACTGCTTTAACTGTGAGAGTTTATGAGTTTATATTTGTACATGGTTCTAAACCATTTTAAGAGGCAACTTTGCTTGAAGAGTGATCTAAAAGTCTTTTAAATAAACAAGCAAATATATAATCAAATGACATTTGGTCATCTCTGTTCTACTCAGACCAAACCTCCTAAATTTGACTTTGTAGGATATATCCAGGCGATCTGACATAGAGTTATGAGCACTGATTTCAATGGGTGTCAGTGCACCTAGCTCTGCCTAGGATCAAGTTAAAGGATTTTGGAGTTGGATTTGCAGTACCCCAAGGTTTCAGCCTCCAGGGATATAGTTCTAACCACTTGGTTATCCTGTCTAAAATGAGAGAGAATGATAGCAAAGCTAAAAGTAAATTATCTACCTTTCCCATCATCCCAAATATTTCTGTATTGTCTTGAATCCCTTCATCCAAATATTTTATAGCCTTCTTAGCAGCATGAGCTTTGTCACTGGTAACATATATCCATCCTTTCAAAACTAGTCCCTGCAGAGGTGGGAAAAAACAAAACACCTCCTCAGCAAAGTAATGAAACTTTTCAATTACAGCATTAGTATGCCAACAGAATGTCAATTTAATAGTTCCCATACAATTACTTTTTTCAGATACAAAAGTTAAACGCAATTAGAAACCAAATATATAAGAAACCTTAGGACACTAGTATTTTCTGATAAAATATAACTAAGAACAAATACCATCCTTCTGCCAAGACAATTCACATTCTGCTGTTTCACCACCAACTGAGCAGGAGAGTGTGATACACGTTTGGAACACACTGATAATTAAGGTTGTAGGTTTGTATTTAAAAGTTCTCCCTCTCCCAGAGCTAAGATTTGAGAAGCTCATGGAGCCAGAGACCACAAGAGTCATTGGGACTTTGAATGATTACAGGAAGCAATCTATGAAGAACATAGTACTGTGAAGACCTCTACTGAAACAGAAGCAAAGCTTTCATTCCCCCACATTACCAACCCCTGTACTTGCTTCCCTTCCAGCATCCTCAGATCCAAAGGATACTTTCTAGAATTCTCCTGCATCCTGCTGTCATAGAATTATAGAATTGTATAGTTGGAAGGGACCCTGAGGGTCATCTAGTTCAATCCCTGCAATGCAAGAATCTCACCTTAAAACATCCACAACAGATGGCCATCCTACCTCTGCTTAAAAACCACCAATTAAGGAATGTCTGTTCGATCGAATAATGGTTACCTCTGAATATGGTCTGCACTATGAGCCATACAAGGATCTCAGAGAACAGAGCCTGACAACCTACTGAGAAGTTAGTTGGCTGTATACATCATATCAGAATAGTCACATCACTTTTAAAGTATTGAAATGTTTTTTTTTCTTTCCATTGCAGTCCTATGAATGTCTATCCATAATTCAGTTCCATAGTTCAGTGGGGCTTACTTCCAGATAAGTGTGTACAGCACACTTTTTTGGGTTGTTGAGAGCTGCATGGATGTGCCAGAGCCAGTGGTGGAACAAGCCATTCAAACTCACATATAAATGTGGTGGGGAGGAAGGAGCACAGGAAATGACTCTCCTCCTGCTGCTTCCTCATCACAACTCCAGCCCCTAGCACAGCTGTTTGGTTGGCTGAGAGTTATGCAATTTATATGAGGAACACACACAGGAATAACTGTGGCAGACTAGGGGGGATTTGGCAGAGACAACAGCTTGGGAATTTGGACTGGACTGGACTGGACTGAAGGCCTATGAGGGCCACAGGCAGGTTGTGGATTATCCACATGTGGTATAGAGGATTGCAAACTATAAACATTTGGTGATAAATTACTCTTATTTAACTTGTATAGGCAACAAAATCTCACTACAGTACACAGAAGCAAATGCACAACTATATACAAAGTGCCCCGTTGGATCAGGTCAAGGGCTCCTCTGAAGTAGCATTCTGGGCTAGTCAAAAACTCTGGGAAGTCCATAAGCAACTGCATTCACTACCTGTATGTTCCCAGTCTTTATGAACTTTAATGTTTCATTTAGCTTTTACAGCCGGGTGATAACCATTGATAAATGGTAAACTCCATGAATAACCCCTTTCAAAGCTAAGTAGAATAAGGGGTGCTTTCATTTAACAAACAAAACCAATTTTAATTTAATTTGCTTTTGTACCAAAGTGGAGAAATCCACTTTGTGAGATTTGGCTTCATCACTTTCAGTTCAATCATGAGCTGTCTAGTGAAAAATAGGGTGATGATAGTTAAGATTTTTTAAGAATGAAGGACCTGGTATTAAAACATGGAAGTACCAAGTTGTTATCCTCCTCTGCACACTTACCAGGGAGTGTGCACTTAACTCACTGGGAATTACTGCTGTGTATACGTTTATAAGATAATCAGTTTATCAACTGATTCACGTTGATGTGAAAGAACAGGTCTGATTTCATAATAAGCAATGAGAAACACAGTGAAGATTAGGTAGTACACTGGCTCCAGTTCAGAAGGCTGATCACATATATTTCAGCTGACTTCCTCAACTGAACAGATGGTTGGCACTGTCAGCTTTTGCCAGCACTGAACATCTGTCACAGTGGAAGGGTGAAGGAGATGTTCTAGAGTCACTCTCTGGCCTTCCTGAAACAGAAGTGCTGACAGTTTGGTGCTGTCAGAACTGACAATGTTTACCATCTGTTTGGTAGTCGGTACACATTCCAGGGTGACTATGCATACAACCTTGAGTGCTGGATGCAGATATCTCCCTGCTCCCAGCTCCTTTTTGTGTGCTTGAGTCCTTCTGATCCAGAAGGGCAATGCATGAGGAAGGCTGTCTTTGAACATGGATGACACTTGCAAGAAGGTTATAACTATGCTTTTCTGGCTTACATTCTATGAAGTATTGAATAGGCCTGGCACATTTCAATGTTCAGTGGACAGCCTAATCTACTCCACTTTACCTCTCTTGCTCCATTAGACACTTTCAGCATTCTGTCAACATACTCCTTTGCTTTATCATTTTTATTTAGGAGCCACAGAAACATTCCAGCATAATACAACGCATTACTTCCGGCGGTCTTCCGCGCTTCCTTTAATTTGGTTTCCAAGTCCAAAAGGGCAGAAGTATCTGAAAGTAAACAGGACGGGTGGTGGTATATGCTACCCTTGTTATCCACTTGTCTGGTTTTCACGTATCACACAAGATAGGCCAACTAAGAAGATCCTAGGGCTGATTCAAGGGAAACAATTTGGGGAGGAAAGTTACATCATGAAGTGTCCAAGGTATGAAATACTTAGAGAATTGCAGGTCTTTTTTCATGTTATGTTCTAAATATGAAAACTGTTTAAGTCAAATTGCATTTGAAACTGATGGAACTTCTAAAACTCTAGGTCTTTGTTGTTATTCCCAAAGTGTAGTTAATTTTAAGTGTAACTAGCAAAACTGTGCACTTGAAGTGTTTCACAGTTCTCTCCTTGGACTATGTGTCTTCTGCCAACACTCCATTACTTCCAGATGGACAGGATCATACCCCTCTTTTTTATTTATTTTTTACATTTACCCCACCCTTCAATTTTGTTTGATTTAATACTGTTATTGGAAACTCACCAATCTTCTCATTTTTCTTTGAACAACTTGTGAATGAATGGCCACATAATGTATTTTAATAAAGGACAGAACTTACCAACTACATTTTTCACATCTTTGTTGTGCATAAATAAGAACCCAGGAGACAATAAGGAAACATTCTACATGGCGCTTTCCCGGGCCATTCTCTGTAGTACAATGCACTTTCTTGGAAATTCGGCCTGCAAGGAATGTAATACAATTGGCTCTTATTGGGAGTGCCAGATTTTTTATGGTGGGGTTATCAGAATCGGTAAAACCAATACCAGAGATTATAATGCAAGCATGGTGCGCTTTTGTTTTCACTTTCGCCAACACCACAGTCTGGGGTGAGTTCCTAATGTGAAACTTAAGTGTTTCCTAGCTCCGATATGCTCAGGTTTCATCTTTTTTAAAAACTTTCCAGTTTTCAAGTTACCTCAGTATGCAGAATGCAGTATGCATTAAAAAAACAAAAACTCACTTAGCTCAATTAGGCTTTTACATTGCATTTTGTTTTCTAGAAAGATATACTTTCAAAGTTTATTGATTTAAAGTATTTACCAAGAAGCAATGTTCCAAAACCCTTGAAAAACAACAGCAACTGGATCATTAGCATGTTTTGCCAGTTCAATGTTTGTCACTTGAACAACATAGTTGAAGTATTTTTCTTGAGCATAGTATAGAATTTTAGCCTTGAGGGGGAGAGAAAGAGAAAATCATTGCTTGCTTGTTTATTATGCATTTCATAAAAAATTATATACCAGTTTTGTAAAATTCCTCAAAGCAGTTTAGAAAAAGAATAAAACAATATTATTAGTAAACAATTAAAGCTTTCAAAAAATTAAAACCAGCAATAAACTTAAAAACACACCAGCATTCTAGATAGCTGGGCAGGCTGGCCCAAACAAATATGTTTAGTATGTGCTGAAGAGTACAGTGACGGCACCTGCCCACTATCAATAGGCAGGGAGTTCCAACGTGTAGGTACAGCCACACTAAAATAATGATTTATTACAGATGTGGAATGGGTATTATGTGGCACCTGTAACAGTGCTAGTTCCCCCAGACTGTAGTGGTTGAGAAGGCAAATATAAGGTGATCTCACAGGTTTCAAGTTATTAAGTATATTAATAGTCCTGACCCTGTAGAAAATTGACAACCAGTGCAGATCTCCGAGCACAAATGTTATATACTGGCAAGTTTTCACTCCTTTCAGCAATAGCAGTGCAACATTCTGCACTAACTGCAGCTTCTGGTTAATTTTTATTATTAATTGAACACACAGCCCTATACCCGGGGTTCTCATGGCTGGTTTCTGCTTGAATCCCAAGGTTGTGGCTATGGGAGGAGCAAGACCTTTCTGTCGTAGGCTCAGGATGTATATGTGTGCCAATAAACGGTGTATCGTAAAGACACCGCAATCTCCGCTGCCCCACAGGCCAAGGAACCCAGACCCTGGGTAATCGCCTTGGACCGCTGGAATCTCGCCCCGCTCAGGTGGGGAGGCTCAGCACAATGGATACAGGGCCGCGCATGGTGTACGCAGTGCCCCCTCTCCGCTTTCTCTTCACAACAACCCTGTGAGGTAGGCAAGGCACAGCAAAGGAGGGGTCGGGGCGGGCGAAAGGCGGCGTGAAAGCCACTTGGTGAGCCGCCTACAGGAAAGGCAGGAGTTTAAACCTCCCACGAATTAATAACGGGGCCAGCCACCAGCCGCAGCCAAGCCCTGAGGCGGGTTCTCTCCCTTTGGGATGGGAAAGGGAGTACCAGGGCCTGAGGGTCTTCGTCAGCCATGGCCGCCGACAGCAACCGCCTGGGCAACGTTCGAAACGCCAACCGCCACAACGGCACGCGCCGCCTTCCCTTCTCAAGACGAACACCTAGAGCAGCCAACCGCCGCCCGGCGTGCGTGGTTACCTGCGGCCACGCCCCTTCCCGCTCCCCGTTGCTAAGCTCCCGATCCTCCTCGTCATCTTTCTCGAGGCGCGAAGACCCCGCCTCCCTGTGGTGACTACTGGTAGCCTGTCCGCGCGGGCCGTCACGTGGAGGGCGACGGCCTCAGCCTATAGAGCGCGAGCGCGTCGGCTTGCTCTGTGGTCAGCTGCGTCCCTCCGCCAACCTCCTGCGCATGCTCAGTCGGCGCTGCAGCGTTGGAACTTGGCAGCGGCGGCTGAGGGAGGATGAGGATGGCGTCGCCGGGGTCTCCTCCGAGTTCCTGAGGTGGCCCTCATGGGGCTGGGCTCCAGCTCCGAAGTCCCCGACGGGGGCTCCGAGGGATATCACGTGCACGGGGTAAGGGCGAGCTCCCCGGACGCGGTCGCTGAAGCAGGAAGGAAAGCGCAGCCCGGCTTATGTTCGTGACGGGGCGCCCGGCTTCCTCCTCCCAGTTGTTGTCTTCAGTATTACTGCCTTATCCCAGGGAGCTCGCAGGAGAGCCAGTGGTTAAGAGCGGTAGACTAGTACAGTGGGACCTCGGGTTACATAGGCTTCAGGTTACAGACTCCGCTAACCCAGAAATAGTGCTTCAGGTTAAGAACTTTGCTTCAGGATGAGAACAGAAATCGTGCTCCGGCGGCGCGGTGACAGGAGGAGGCCCCATTAGCTAAAGTGGTGCTTCAGGTTAAGAACAGTTTCAGGTTAAGAATGGACCTCTGGAACGAATTAAGTATTTAACCAGAGGTACCACTGTTCGAAAGCACCCTTAAAGTGCAAGTAGATAAATAGGGACCGCTTACCAGCGGGAAGGTAAACGGCGTTCTGTGTGCTGCGCTGGCTCGCCAGATGCAGCTTGTCACGCTGGCCACGTGACCCGGAAGTGTCTGCGGACAGCGCTGGCTCCCGGCCTATAGAGTGAGATGGGCGCACAACCCTAGAGTCTGTCAAGACTGGCCCGTACGGGCAGGGGTACCTTTACCTTTACCTTACCACTGTAATCTGGTGAACCGGGTTCGCGTTTCCGCTCCTCCACATGCAGCTGCTGGGTGACCTTGGGCCAGTCACACTTCTCTGAAGTCTCTCAGCCCCACTCACCTCACAGAGGGTTTGTTGTGGGGGAGGAAGGGAAAGGAGAATGTTAGCCGCTTTGAGACTCCTTCGGATAGTGATAAAGCGGGATATCAAATCCAAACTCCTCCTCCTCATCGTCTTCTTCTGGACTCTCCTTCCTTGGGTGTTTTTAAGTAGAGGTTTGGATGGCCACCTGTCATGGATCCTTTAGCTGAGATTCCTGCATTGCAGGGGGTGGACTGGATGACCCTCGGGGTCCCTTTCAACTCTAAGATTACTGAGGGAGGTCCTGAACATAGCAGCAAATTCTTTAGAAACAGATTTGTGGCAGATATGTCCATCAATGGCTACCAGTCATGTTGGAGGCTATGGTCCGCTTCCGTGGTCAGAGGTAGTACAGTGGTACCTTGTGTTATAGAGGCTTCAGGTTACAGACTCCGCTAAGCCAGAAATAGTACCTTGGGTTAAGAACTTTGCTTCAGGATGAGAACAGAAATCGCATGATGGCACTGCGGCGGCAGCGGGAGGCCCCATAAGCTAAAGTAGTACCTCAAATTAAGAACAGTTTCAGGTTAAGAACGGACCTCCAGAACGAATTACGGTCTTAACCCGAGGTACCACTGTAATGCCTTTGAACAGCAGTTGCTGGGAACCACAGGAAGGGAGAGATGCTCTTATGCTCAAGTCCTGCTTGCCAGTTCCCCATGCGCATTTGGTTGGTTACCATGGAATAGGACGCTGGACTAGATGGGCCATTGGTCCTGATCCATCAGGGCTCTTCTTTATGTTCTTGAGAGCAGGTTGTGGATTCGGTATGAGATCTTGCGCAAATTTTGGGATCACCTTGGTGCCAGCTTTTAATGGAGTGCGTATGAATAGGTGAAATCTATGCTTAGAAAGCCTCTTGAGAGCCAGTGTGGTGTAGTGGTAGTCTTGTAATCTGGTGAGCCGGGTTTGCTTCCCTGCTCCTCCACATGCAGCTGCTGGGAGACCTTGGGCTAGTCACACTTCTCTGACGTCTCTCAGCCTCACGCATCTCACAGAGTGTTTGTTGTGGGGGAGGAAGGGAAAGGAGAATGTTTGCCGCTTTGAGACTCCTTTGGATAGTGATAAAGCGGGATATCAAATCCAAACTACTCTTCTTCTTCTGCTTCTTCTTCTCTGTTGGCGGTTTGTTACGGCCAGGTGGAACCTCCGCACGCAGAGGCAGTCTATCTGAGCGCCAGCGTCATAAGCGGAATCCTGCTGGAAAAGACCCTCCGAGGCCCGTGGATTCCAGCATTCGACTCATAGCTGTCAATCTTCCCTTTTTTTGTGGGGAATTCCTTTATTTACTTCCCACTGCTATCCCGGATTGTTATATATCCTGTAGACTGTCCTTGGGACAGGTGAGGCTGCTGATCCCTTATTTTCAAATCTGAAAGTTGACAGCTATGCTGCTGATCCCTTATTTTAGAGGCTGCTGATCCCTTATTTTAAAATCTGAAAGTTGACAGCTATGATTCGACTTCCCACAGTGGCCAACCAGATGCCCATAAGCGCAGGGCAGGTGGGCAGCACCCCTCTCCCACTGTTTCCTTCCTTCCTTCCTTCCTTCCTTCCTTCCTTCCTTCCTTTCTTCCTTTCTTCCTTCCTTTCCCTTTCCCTTTCTGTGCTTACTAATGTGGAGGCTTCATGTAGCCATTGTGGTTGGTAGCCATTGGCAGATGAATCCTCTTGAGTGCTCCCCCCAACCCAATACCCCTATAAAGTCATCAGCCATAGCTGTCTCTTCTAGTGGTGAAATCGTTTACTGATTTCCATTATTTATAGGCTGGCCTATAACATAAAAAAGGTCTCTGGCTCACGGGATAAAAGCAGTGCAATAACTGCACTAAAAATACAGTAAGTTCAACATTAAAACGTTCCCCAATTAAGATGGCCATGCATTCCTTGAATTCCGTGTAAATTCCACACATGTTGTCTTGTATATGTGCTGCTGAAGCGAGCACCACACATGTTGTCTTGTGTAAAAGAAATGTGTTCTTTTATCTCCAGAAATTGATGAATGTATCTTGAGTTGTGAGAAGTGTTAGAAACTGAGATATGAAAGCTAGGAGCTAAGTGGCACCTTAAACCTAGGTTATGGGCGCAACAACGGAATGCCGGTGCACTTTTTTTTTAACTAGAATACAAATACAAAGCTGAAAATGAATGAGCTGCAGTTAAATTCTTATACTCATTTTTCACATGGTCTAGTCCTCATCTGACGACTGCAAAAAACAAAACCATGCTTCCCCTGCCTCCCCCCCCCCAATATTCTTAAGAGGGTCTCTTCTCCAGTCCTCAGAGAATGCCTGGAAGTGGGGAGGCAGAAAAAGGTCCTCCTTTCCTTCCACTCTGCAGTTTTAATCTGAAATCTTAGGCGCAGTACTGCGCCCATAGAGCTCAAAAACTGCTTGCTCTAATGAAATTCCTTATCCCAAAACAATGGGAGTTTTGAACGCTGGTTGTGAGAGAGCAAAGCTAACTGTTAAACTTTCTCCACACCGTGCATGATTCATTTTCATCATAATGTCATCTTAATGCTGTGGTTTTGGATAATGGTGGGGCTGGATCAATGGGAGCTTTGGTCGTATTCAAATGGACAGTTTTTTCAGTTTAAATGAAAACCTCATCCATTTAAAAAGAAGTTATAAGATCCTTATTCATGAATGGAGGGGTTTACCAGTTCTCAATGGTTAACAGCTGTAAAAGTGAAATGAAACCTCCATGTTCACAAAGGCTGAGAACACACAGCAGGGGTATGCTTTTGCTTGTGGATGTCAGAGACATTTGACTGGCCTAGAATGCTACATCAGAGAAACCATATCAAGGCATCAGGGCTATAAAGCCCTGTCAAGGTGGTTCACATCATTTAACAAAATACAATGTTGTTGTTGTTTAGTCGTGTCCGACTCTTCGTGACCCCATGGACCAGAGCACGCCAGGCACTCCTGTCTTCCACTGCCTCCCACAGTTTGGTCAGACTCATGTTTGTAGCTTCGAGAACACTATCCAACCAACTCATCCTCTGTCGTCCCCTTCTCCTTGTGCCCTCCATCTTTCCCAACATCAGGGTCTTTTCCAGGGAGTCTTCTCTTCTCATGAGGTGGCCAAAGTATTGGAGCCTCAGCTTCAGGATCTGTCCTTCCAGTGAGCGCTCAGGGCTGATTTCCTTCAGACTGGATAGGTTTGATCTTCTTGCAGTCCGCGGGACTCTCAAGAGTGTCCTCCAGCACCATAATTCAAAAGCATCAATTGTTCGGCAATCAGCCTTCTTTATGGTCCAGCTCTCACTTCCATACATCACTACTGGGAAAACCATGGCTTTAACTATACGGACCTTACTAAATACAATACAAATTTCATATAAAAACCAGCAGTACAGTAGAATGAAAGGGCAGGGGGAATAATAACAGAAATCATGACATTGATTGGTTAAAAGCAGATGTAAACAGATAAGGTTTTCCAGAGCCTGTTATAAGACAATCATTGAGAGAACCAAGTACACTTCCCATGGGTAGGAATTCCATAATGATGGAGCCACCACTGAGAAGGCCCTCTGGTACCCACAGACCTGATAGATTTTATCACCAGGTCTGCAAGCAAGGCCTCTGTGGTCAATCTTAAGGGCAGGGCAGGCTCATATGGGTGCAGATGGTCCGTCCAGCTGGTTAGTGCTTAAAAAGTAACAGCTAGTGAATCTGAAGCACACTTTACCAACCTGTGCAGTTGGTAATTCATGTTAATGTATAGAAATTATTGTACTGGATTGGTCTCCCTTCCACCTGCTCAGTACTCCTGTCCTGTGAATGTTCTAGAATGGTATGCACTGTCTCTTCAAATACGTTCCTGTGGGAGAGTATGGTTAACAGGTCTAGCTTGGAATGAACTGTGGTGCACTCTGATTTGCCTGTTCCGTGTAGAAGTGATGAATTATGACTGCACAATGTTCTGCTGCATTCAATTTTATTTTTATTTTTCAGGGAGAGCTGTGTAAATAAGGTCTCTCCCCAGGGCTGTGCATATGCTGTTCAAAGTCTTGTGGACTCTGTTTTCTGTTGCAGAACATGGCACACTGAGAAGAGAAGCTTTCAGTAATCCTTAAACCAGTTCTTACGTTTTTTTGTTTGTGGAGGGAACCTTAAAAAATATGGGGCTCAGACACATATGGGGGAATAGGAAAATGCTTCCACTGGTTAAGGGATGAAGTGCTATTTCCTTGTCCAGCACTCTCACCCATAGTTATTTATTTTTGCCCTGTGACACTCCTTGGCACATAGCCTGACTATCCAGTTATGATGCTATTTCCTCTTCTGTTTGTGTGCAAAAATCTTTGGTTCCTTTGGAAACCAAGAGCTCTGGAGAAAAACAAACTGTTAAAAAATACTTCATGCAGATGTGCACTGCATAATTCTAACAGAATGTATATTCCCAAAGGAGCTAAGCCTTGCCCCTATGTTTTTTAAAAGTCTGCTGAAAACAGTGTTGCTTCAGTGGCCATTCTTAAAGTAAAATCTCTAAATGTGGGTGTTTATTGTGGGATTAGTACTCCTCATGCATGCAAGTTTTCTTTTTTGCTTTGCAGTATCCACACATGGTTGGTATCAAACTGCACAAAATACGCAGAGAAAATCTTGTATTAAAAAAACCCTTTGTTGCCAGCAAGCCATTTGGAATATCTCTCCACTGCTCATTTGCAATATTAAGTCCCTGTTTGGAAGCACTGTATGTCTTGCCTTCCAGCTGCTTTTACTATTTCAAAATGGTACATTCTGATGCTTCTCTTACCATTCACTATACCTTAAAACAAAATTTGTAAGCCAGTTTGAATGAATGTTTAACATAGAAAAATGAGATATAAATACATATAATAGAATGGGTTGGGCCACATTAATTTCACATAGGCCTTATTAAAATCAATGTGATGGGTTGGTTGTGGCTTAAGTTCCATTGGTTTTAATGAGAATTAAGTGCAACTAACTTATGTGCAACTGGATCCAGCCTCTGTAGTGCTTAGCTATGCTTGCAGTTTTTTCTGGTTCTTACACAGTCTTAGCAAATCACATTTGTACACATTGCCATTCAGTAAACCTACCACAAACAGCTTCTGATTGTAGGTGAATAATCTTGAGAGCACAAGAACTACATTGTTTTATTGTTAAAGCTAAGCACGTCTTTCTACTTGACAGTTGGTGTCTGGCTGAGAAATTACTTGGGATCTCTTGTGTAAGCCACACTGTGCTTCCTGTGGGTGCAATATATATTGGTATTTCCTGGTTGCCGTTGGAAATAGGTGGACTGTGCATTTCTTTGTAATGTCTGCCCAGCCCATCTGTGCAACAAAAGACTCATATAGATAAAATTGAATTGTGAGGTAGACCAGTCCGGTGCTCCCAACTTGGCCTGTAGAGCTTGAAAGCATATCAAGCATGGAGGCAGCAGCAGATTGGTATTTCGCAGTTGGTGTTTTGTACACAGCTTATACCTGGTCTCCTCTTTGAAGGAAGAGCTTAAAAGTTTCTCCCTGTGACTTGCATTGCATAGTACTCTCTCTGCTGTGTACTTTGTCTTCCACGGGTTTCCTCTTTGATTGTTGTGAAACTGCATCTCTTAGATGCATGTGTTATTTTGGGAAGTGATGTAACTGAGTGGTGGAGCACCAGTTTCAATTCCCAACATCTCCAGGTAGCACCGGGAGAGACTCCTGCCTGACACTCCGTGGAGCCACAGACCATCAGTGTAGACAATACTGAGCTAGATGGACTGCAAGTCTGCCTTTCAGAGTTCCTTTTGGCTTCTGTTTGGCTAGGGAGGAGAGGGGTTCTGAGCAATACATCTATCCTGTTTGTTAGGATGGTTGGCTGTGGTATTTTCTTTTTGCTCTAGGCCAGTATAACCTCTCCCAAGTGCCGAAAGACAAGTCTCTTATTGTCAGCTCATAAGCATGCTTGGTATGAATACTTTTTGCATTACCGTATTTTTCGCACCATAGGACGCACTTTTTCCCTCCTAAAAAGCAAGGGGAAAATGTGTGTGCGTCCTATGGAGCGAATGCAGGGGGGAGGCAGGGTGGGAAAAGCCCTCAAGAGCCGCACACAAGCTTCGTGCGCTCTTGCGGGCTTTTCTCCAGGAGGGAGAAGGGACTGACTGGCTGTAGCAGTCCCTTCTCCCTCCTGGGGGAAAAGCCCCCAAGAGCGGCGCCCTCTTTAAAGGCTGTGCGGCTCCTGCAGGCTTTTCTACGAGGTGGGGGAATCCGCCCACCTCCCAGAAAACCCAGGAGAAGCCGCACCGCCCCTTTAAAGAGCGTGCGGCTTCTGCGGGAGGTGGGGGAAGCTGCAGCAGATTCCCTCCTCCCGGGCTCCCTTTGAGGCGGCAATGTGGGAGGGGAGCAGCTTACACTCGTGTAAGCAGCTCCTCTCCCACTTTCCTCCTTCAAAGCAACTACGGAGGAGGGAAGGAAGGGGACCATGGATCCTCCGCTGCTGGAGGCTTCAGCAGATTCCCCCCTCCGTGATTGCTTTGAAGCAGGAAAGTGGGAGGGAGGCAGCTTACACTCGTGTAAGCAGCTCCTCTCCCACTTTCCTCCTTCAAAGCAACTACGGAGGAGGGAAGGAAGGGGACCATGGATCCTCCGCTGCTGGAGGCTTCAGCAGATTCCCCCCTCCGTGATTGCTTTGAAGCAGGAAAGTGGGAGGGGGGCAGCTTACACTCGTGTAAGCAGCTCCTCTCCCACTTTCCTCCTTCAAAGCAACTACGGAGGAGGGAAGGAAGGGGACCATGGATCCTCCGCTGCTGGAGGCTTCAGCAGATTCCCCCCTCCGTGATTGCTTTGAAGCAGGAAAGTGGGAGGGGGGCAGCTTACACTCGTGTAAGCAGCTCCTCTCCCACTTTCCTCCTTCAAAGCAACTACGGAGGAGGGAAGGAAGGGGACCATGGATCCTCCGCTGCTGGAGGCTTCAGCGGATTCCCCCCCCAGCTTAAGTGGGGTGGGGGAAGTGTGGCAGGTAGGGGGGTACCTACCTAGACAGTGAAGCCACATGTCTCTCCAATGAAAATTGGGAGTGGGCATTGTGTGAAGTGGCTGTGGATCTCCTGCCGCAGAACTGTAGGACTGTATAGAGTTGGGAGGGCCACCCGAGGGTCATCTAGCCCAGCCCCCTCACAATGTAGGAATCACAGCTAAAGAACGCCAGGCAGATGGTCCCCCAACCGCTGCTTAAAAGCCTCCAGTGGTGGAGACCCCAAACACCTTCCGAGGTCATAGAATTGCAGGGTTGGAAGGGAACCCCAGGAGTCATCTAGTCCAGCCCCGGTGGACAGCATGCGCAATCCATCCCGTTGCGCAAGACTAAAGATGCTGCGCAAGGCTAAAGAAGAAGCCAAGGCAGTGAGCGGGATGGATCGCGCTTGCTGCCTTGTCTTCTTCTTTAGCTGCACTGGAGAGGTTTAGCTCCTGGCTGGAGAGGTTGTGCGGCTATGGACCCCGCGCGCTGTCTTGGCTTCTTTGCTCTTTGGGGCTGGGGGGGGGGACCCGGGCTTCCCCCGCAGCCCCGAGAAGGTCTGGGAGAAGTGGACAGGCTGCGTGCAGCCTGTCCGTTGCTCTTTGGGGCTGGGGGGGAATAATATTTTTTTCCTTTATTTCCCCCCTCTAAAAACTAGGTGCGTCCTGTGGTCCGGTGCGTCCAATAGAGCGAAAAATACGGTACATAATTTAGAAAACGTGTGCTTCCACTGACATTTTTTTCATTTGGTTCATCTATATGTAAAACTCTGCCATTTTTCAGGTTCAGGAAAACTCCCCTGCTCAGCAGGCTGGACTGGAGCCGTTCTTTGATTTCATCCTCACAATAGGACACACCAGACTGGTAAGTAGCTAAACAAAGGTCACTGGGGTTTTTTTTAATGCTGAGCTCTAGCAGGTAAGTATGTTGCTGGTGTGCTATAAATAAGTGCATCCCAAAGCATGACCTGAAGGTACATGAAGCTGCCACTTTTCTGAAGCTAAGTAGAGCTGCTCAGTGCTTGGATGACAGATTTCTGCCCCCCCCCCCCAATGATAGCATATATGTTGCCTTGAACTCTGTGGTGGAAGAAAGTTGGTGCATAAGTGGAACTAATGAATTACCGTAATAAATGAAAACTAGGAGTCAGCAAGTAGAACTGCCAGATAGGCACAGACCACTTGGGAGATATGGTGCTGTGGTTCTGCCCAGCTGCTCATGTTTCCCTTCTGAAAAACATAGAAGGACCGTACACTGTTGTAGGTTCATCTGCTTGGAAGTTGAGTCATAAGGGAGGCTGCCCCTATGCAGGGCTTGGTTGGTCATAGTACCCGTGACTCAGAATGGCAGAGCGTGAACTTGCAAGCAGGTTCTTCCCACTGATGGCCATGGAAGCATCTGAAATGGCTGGCTGTGAGTGTCCTGTATGAACAAAGGTTTCAGGTTTTTTACTAACTTGTGCTTCTGAGTTTGCATGAGATTAAGGGTGGTTCTGTGATTAGGTGTCTTTAAAAAAAATATCTGTTCAAATAGCAGAATTCCATCCTTTACATGTGTCTGTTTGTTTTGGAAATTCTGATCGTGGATGTAACGGACAGGCCATATTGGGCTCTGGAAAGGAGATTTCTCCCGATATCAGATATGCCCCAACTTCTCCTCTAGTAAATGGCTGGGTACACTTGCTCAGGTTGGGATCTGTTTGTCCTGCAAACATCTCTTGTTCATCAGAGCTGGTGGGTGTGTTGCGCTGTGGAGGGAAGGGAAGGAGGGTGTTGACCTGTTATCACGTCACAAAACTAGTTTTCAGCACTTGTTCAAATATCACCCTGTAAATAATTAACATGTTTGAAGCTTCTTGGCCCACATATATTATGGCTACCAAATATACTTCGTTTCATTGGATAAAGGCATGGCAAATGGTGGTGTTTATTTTTTTGCACATTTCTTTTATGACCTAATCCTACTTGATTAGAAGCAACTCCTGTTTATTTCAGAGGGATTTGCTTTGAAATAAGTACCTCTATTGTTAAATGTCCTAAATGCTGCATGACTAAAAGCTCACAAATGGGACATAAAGGCCACAACCCTCCTCCTGTTGTGATCCCCAGAACCTGGTATTCAGAGATACTGGTAAATTGCCTTAGCTATATGGGACCTCTGTTTTCAGTTGGGGCTGTTCTTTTAAAAATAAACTTAACAGAATTTATTGCCTCAAGAAGTGCTGAATTTATTTTTATTGCTGTTCTCCTCCTCCAGTGCATTCTCTTGGAAAAGCAGGCAGGAGATATGTTTAATGAATTAATAAAATTAATTCATCTTAAAGTTAGTGGCCATAGCACATCTTGTGGCTGTCAGTTCCATAAGGTATTAGGAAATATCCACTTTATGGAAGGCAAGTTGATACTTCAACCTCAATTTCTGCAGCTGCTGGCCTGCCCCTCCACATAGCCTCTGTGAATCTTTAAACTGATTTTAGCCTTGTTTAGGGAAGTTTTTAATGTTTGATGTTTTATAGTGATTTTGCTATTCTGCTGGGAGCCACCCACTGTGGCTGGGGAAACTTATAAAATCATTTAAAAATCATTAAATCATTAAAACTAATTATAACTTTATTTTGTTGTTGATGTTGTGGGCCTAGCAGTCTGTTGGCTACTGTCCAGAAGCAAACCTCTTATATTTCCTTTCCTTCCTTCCTTTTTTTTTTGAGAACAAAGAAGGGGACATCTTAAAAGATCTGCTGAAAGCCAATGTTGAGAAGGCTGTGAAACTGGAGGTGTACAACATTAAAACGATGAAAGTGCGTGAAGTGGAGGTGGTCCCCAGCAACATGTGGGGAGGGCAGGGGCTCCTGGGAGCCAGCGTGAGGTTCTGTAGCTTCCAAAGAGCCAATGAGCATGTGTGGCATGTGCTGGTAAGTAGGAAAAGATGGTTGTGCAGTTTTACTATACTTCCTTACTCTGTCACTTTGAATTTAGGGTTTGCTTGTTTTATCCCAAGAAAGAATCCTTCAGCAAAGAGTTTTATGGCACCTTAAAGACTAACCAGTTTTATCGCAAAAGATAGTGTTAGCCTTTAAGGTGCCACAAGACCCTTTGCTGCTTTTGCTGCAACAGACTAACATGGGAACCCCTCTGGTGAGCGGATTTTGAGATGGTCAGCTCTGGGCTTATTTTCTTCGTCCCCCTCCCCTTTCATGGTGATATTTTTTGAATAAAGGCATCGTTTGTCAAACTTCCTCTCCTGCAGAGAAACATTTCCACATTGACTTGTCTGTACATTTCAGAGCATTCTAGGGTGCACCAGATGGTGCCCATTTTCCCCCTCCCCAGGAAAAAGGGTTTTGCTAGCATGCACTCACCTCTGCCATGCTGGGTGGGTCTGGTAACAGTAGACAACTTTCCTGGAATTGGTCTTCTATTATCTTATCTCTTATTGATGATGAGCTTGCAAGGGTTTCTGGGAACATTGTTTGCAAACAACTGGATATATGCTTTTCACTGCTTGATTTGTTGACTGGGCATAGGTAACATAACTGATCAATGTCTCTCTAGGATGTGGAACCGGCTTCCCCAGCAGCGCTGGCTGGCCTAAAGCCGCACACTGATTATATTGTTGGATCGGATCAGATACTGCAGGAGGTAAAGTGAGTCATCAGTTGCACCATTGGCTGAATCGGGGGTGGGGCTAGACAGTTTTCAGTGATTGCTGCTGCAATCTCACAGCCACTTACATGGGAGAAAGCCCCATTTAATTCAGTTTCAGAGTAGATTTGCCTATAATTGCACTATGATCATTGTAGCAAGTATTCCCCAGGCTTAAGCTATTCTACACATGCAGTCTCCTTCCCAGTCTTTGCTTTGGGACTAGATATAAATTTCTCTGTGCAAATTGTGTAGCTGTCTTTAAATATTCACCCACTCTTGTTCTCAAGGGCTGGGAAAACTGAATGCAGAAATAAAGAGAAGAAAAGTTGGATCCCTCTCTACAGATATTTCAGTTAAACCCAGGGTGGAGAATTGGCCCATCTCTGCATGCCGTTTTGACAGATGGTTGGGGCTGGGAGGGCAGCAAGGGAAAAGAGGAGCCAAATCGAAATGAATTCAAGTTGAGGATGCAAAGGAAGAGTTCAGAGTTTGTTACCAATCCTCCCATGTGAATTTGGCTTTGTCTGTCTTGCACTTGACGTCAGGTGACAGCATGGCTTGGCTGAAATGACCTGGCACACTGAATTGGGCCCTTGGGCTGGGGAGTTCTGCACTGCTGAGTTAAAGGTGTTTAGCACAGAGGATTGATGGCAGTAGCGGTGAGGTTTAAAACCAACAGTCCTATAAGGAGTTACATCCACTCCTGCCCAATACCATTTCATGGGTGATCTTTCTACTTTCCCCAAGCACCTGCTGCCCCCTCCTGCATTTGCACTTGCGGTGTCAAACCACCCTGCCCTACACAGCAGTAATGTTGGAACCTGTGGCCCTCTAGATGTTGAACTCCAACTACCATCAATCCTAACCTGCATGGTCAGTGGTCTGGGATGAGAATTGTAGTCCAGCAACATCTGAAGGGCCACAGATTCACCATTCTGGCTTTAACTGCTTCATATCTTGTCCTCTTTTCTGACCTGTCCATTGCACATGGAAGCTTGACAGATTAATGCAATGACCTGTTTCCTGCTGCTTTGTACTTTGGCAGCTACCTATAGGACACCTTGTGAGGAGGATAACCAAAGAACATACTGCTAATTCTAGCTAGTCATTCTTTGTCCTACACAGCAACAGGACACCTGGAAATCATGTCATGGCAGGCAGGGAGAGGTTCTAGAGTGCAGCTGTTGGGTTGATGACAGTCTTCTTTTTCTCTCAGTCCGAAGATTTTTTCTCATTGATTGAAACCCATGAGGGGAAGCCGTTGAAACTGATGGTCTATAACACAGAAGCTGATTCCTGTCGAGAGGTTTTTGTAACCCCCAATGGAGCCTGGGGTGGAGAAGGAAGGTATGGATTTGTGAGTGACAGGATAGTCTGTAAATGAGGTCAAGGCTTATCACAGTATGCTTTCCTGTACATTGCTGTGAAGATGTTTAGCCCCATGGGATCCACAGTGTGGGAGAATTATGCACCCTAGAAAGCCATCACAGTTCCTGTGTTTCGTGTTATCACTGTTGAACACTTGCCTTGGCACCAACACAACACAGAAGCAGCAGTTCTCACCCAGCGGTTTACCTTCTTTGCATTTTAATGCGATGTAAAAGACAGATGAGGATCCAAGGTGTGTGTTGATTGATGTGTCAGGGATGGAGCAGAGGAAGGGTAGCAGGCAGCCTAGAAACAAAATCTGAGGTGGTGGTGGTGCTTCAATAAGAAGAAGAAGAAGAAGAGTTTGGATTTGATATCCCGCCTTTCACTCCCTTTAAGGAGTCTCAAAGCGGCTAACATTCTCCTTTCCCTTCCTCCCCACAACAAACACTCTGTGAGGTGAGTGGGGCTGAGAGACTTCAAGGAAGTGTGACTGGCCCAAAGGTCACCCAGCAGCTGCAAGTGGAGGAGCGGAGACACGAACCCGGTTCCCCAGATTAGGAGACTACCGCTCTTACCACTACACCACACTGGCTCTGGTGGGGTGGCAGTTCAGAAATAGACCAGTGATAAAGGTGTGCAACTGAGGGGCCATATTTTCTCTACTGGTCTTGGCAACTGCACCCAGCCCCTGATCCTAGCTGCCATATTTCCTTATGGTCCTTTGCATGTGGTTCAGGTGTGAGCTAATTCACATTAATTGATCCTGAGCCACAAGCAGTGTGGAGGGACCTTTTGTAAATACAGGTGTGTATGAACTAGGTGGGGGAAGCTGCCCCTAATAGTCCCCCACCTACCCCAGTCCCTGCTTCTGAGCTAAGAGCCAAGAGGAAGTGTGCAAGTGCTGGATTTTGGAGTTTCTACCCCCTTGCCAACCTGTATTTTCCTGCAAGTTTAGGGCAGACTGTCTCCTTTTCCTATCCTGTTGCCATTCAGGCTTCAGTAAGTAGGTGACTTGATTCATGAATATGTATTTTAGTCCTCTGTGAATGACCAAGGGGCAGCCTGACCCTTTATAAACAATTCCAATTTACTCAGCTTTCATTTCCTAGGTTACTGCAGTACACAAGCTGAGGGAAGTTTGTCATCCCACAAGGGAGTTGGGGAAATCTGGCAGTAATTTTAACACTTGATTCCAGTTTCCCAAGGTAAACAGCACCTTTATTGGTTACGTGCCACTCATTCTATTGGTTAGACAGAGCCATCTGTCAATCAGAACACACTGGGTCAAGAGTCTTTAAAACTGGAATGTTGCCAGCATTTCGTTGCCCCTCTGACCACCCACAATGCTATGCTACTTGGGAAGAGTCCTTTTTGTAAGTTGCTGCATTAGGATAAAGAGACTTGAAATGTTTCTTTTGTGCAGCATTCTGCCTTTTCCCTTTTGACACCCTAAAACCTTAACAAAAAATTTCTCTTGAAAGTGGCTGCTGAGGTCTGGTGTGACTGCTTACCAGACACAGTGCCTCCCCGCAATGCCTAGGTCTCTTTGGTGCCATGGTATTTATTTGTGCTGAGGGAAAAGGTGGAGGAAAGCAAGCTGCCCTGCTTCCTGGGGGGTGAGTGCAGACTGGAAGCTTCATAACTAATATACATCACTTATAGCCTTAAGACTTGTCTCTGCCCCAAAGTTAGAGGGACCAAGAAGGGCTGCACACAGTAGAGATAGACTTCTACTTGTGATCTGAGTCAAATGGGCTTCTGTCAGTTACTTTGAAAACAAAATTTTCAAGGGTGCAAGCTTCTTTCTTTTTCTTTTCTTTACCTTCTTGTGCAGTTTAGGGTGCGGCATTGGATATGGCTATTTGCACAGAATTCCAACACAGCCTTCTATACCAAAGAAAAAGGCAGAAGCTGGTCCTCCTTCTCCTTTGCCCTTGGGAGACACACCTCCTGAACCACCAACCAATGGCTATACAGAGGTAGGCATTTCACAGTGAAAGATGACTGCAGTGCTTGTGGGTGCTGCTATTTTTAATATGCGAAGGGCAGGGTGCAGCTGCTGTAATACTCCCAGGAGTTATGGGCAGCTCACATACCGTCTCTCCACCTACTCACTTTTGTTCCTTCCTCCAGAGGGCCATGACGTGTCTCACTTACCTGCCTAGAAGCTAAGTTACATTCTTCTTGAGCATCTGTGGACACCATTGTGTAGGGTTTGCTTGGCTGATAGGCTTGCATTGCACTTCTGGATCAAGAGGGGGAAGCAGCCTTTCCTCCTTGGAAACTCTGCCCAGGTTGAGGTTATAATATAAGCCTCTGGCCCTCTAATGAGGTCATGTCATCTGCCCATTTTGTAGTTGCTTTGCTTAGTGATAATGAATGTGTTCCTTGTTCTGAAGCATGCAACTCTTTCTGTTTTATAAATTATTTCAGGCTCCTCTGTTAGCACCAAACTCCCAAAGCGAAGAACCTGCAAGCTTAGAGTACAGCACAGATCAAAGTGTAAATATGTATTCAGTAGAAAATTCTCTTCAGCCTCCTCCTCCTGTGCAGAGAGTCATGGATCCAGGTAATCTGTTCACCTGTTGACCTTTAGAGCATAAAAGCTGGGTGGCTGGTTTTTATATTCAGGTTCACATGTGCAGAAATTCTGCAATGAAGAAGAGCTGTGTTGACTATGACTTTGCAGATTGTAGTCTGCTCATGGGGAGAGGAACAATGTAGGGCACTGATGGGGAATACTAACTCGACCGTGGTGCTGTCCAATTCCTGCAGTGGCAGGATCCTTCAGAACCTCACCTACCACCCCTTGAGTCATAAACCTACGAATAGAGACAGGTGTGGTGGGTTAGGAATACCTTTGCCAAGGCGCTTGTCAAAGTAAGAATGACTTCATGCCGTAATTCCAGATGGGTCAGATAACACCTTCCACTGATTTCAGCATATTTGTATCAGGCTGTTCATGGCTAACAGAGGGGTAAGCAGAAGTCTCTTGATGGCATTCGCATTCTAAGTTACAAGTCATTTTGGTGGTAGCTAGGAACAGGAAAGAAATTTCACCTTTAAACAATTTATTTCTCTTGTAAATTATTGGCTGTACTTTTCTCTCCTCCCATTGCTTTCCAGGTTTTATAGATATGTCTGGAGCTTCTTTTCCTGAATTAATTGACTTAGTGAAAACAGTCAAGGTGCCTTCCTCTGCTTCTTTCAACTTGCCAGACACTGTTGCAGCAACTGATAGCTTGGTATCTAACAACGGAATTCATTCACACTTTGGTAAGCAAGCACTTTGGTAATTCAAACACAAACATCATATACTGTAAACGTTTGTGTTTAAATTAAACACAAAAGACTGCAGCATTTACTACAGTCATACCTCTGGTTGTGAACGTAATCCATGCGGGAGGCACGTTCGCAACCCGCAGCGTTCACAGCCTGAAGTGCTGTGTCTGCGCACGTGCGTGACGCGATTCAGCACTTCTGCGCATGATGTCATTTTGTGCTTCTGTGAATGTGCCGAAACCTGGAAGTAACCCGTTCTGGTACTTCCGGGTTTTGCGCGGTCCGCAACCTGAAAACACGCAACCCCCGCAGCGTTTGCAACCCGAGGTATGACTCTACATGGGTCTTAGTAAAACTTGGCAATTTTTAGTCTGCTTTTTGCTCAGATATGAAAGTTTGAAGTGTTTATAATGAGAAAGTAAAGTTAAGTAAGAAGTATGCAAATCCACAACCAACATATTGTGTGATCAGCTTTAATATCTCCTTACTAAATTCTGGTTACTGACAACAATTTTTTACAAAAATAAAGAATCTTCTGGCATCATAAAGGCTAAGGACAATATGAAATATTAGTGTATTCAGGGTAGCCCTGTTGAAATCAATGTTAGAATTAGAGGAGAAGAAAAAGGGGTGCCTCTGAGCCTAGGGATTTGTTTTCAGTGCCAGGATCTAACTGAGCTGAGTATTGTTTCATGCAAAAGTGCACTTCTGGTTCCTTTCTTCATTCCAGCAGACTAATTTAGCTGAGAAAATTATTGTTATAGTTTAAAACCTTGCTCATCTACTGCAAGTCACAGAGCAATCTACCGGAATCTGATCTGCCGTCCTATTTTAAATAAGCTAGTTAAAATCTGATGTCTTTGTTGGGTAAGCATGGAAGAAGACACAATTGCTCATAATTTAGCAGAGTTAATTCTAGAGAGTACATGGTAGCTTAGTTACTGATTTCATGTTGCTTTCTTCAGTCACCTGCAGGGGCTTCATGTTTTGAGAATTACAGGCATTGTTTTTTCTGTAATTAGATTTTGACTTCTGCTTTTCAGACCAGGCCTCTATTCCAGTTTCAGAAGATTCATTATCTTATGCAGAGGGCTCAAGTCCTCAGCCAGAGGTGGATGCAGCGCCTTCAGTTTCTGTTTTGCCATCCCTTCCTGTGGATATCTCTGTAAATGCAACATCTAAAGCTGATGGTGGTGCTCAAGAAACACTTCTGCTTTTAGATGGGACTGAGAGCCCGCAAATGACCAAAGCTTTACAACCTGACAGTGAAGATGAAAAGGCCAAGGAATTGACAGAAGAAACTGCACAGATCTAGTGCTAAAAGTGACAGCACTTGCTATCAGCTGTAAGGACATTGGTGCCAGACAATAAGGCTTTTGATACCCAGTGACATCCATTGTGTTGCTATATTACAGTAATACTGCAAGAATTCAAGCTGTTTCCAGTGATCTTGAGCCAGCCTTTCATTGTCTGATAGGTTTCAACATCTGCAACTACTGCTCAGCAATAACACTGATAATTTGACTTGGAATAAGTTCTTTAAAAATGCTGTTTTGTGTGAAGAGTTTGCTGTCTGCCCAAAAGCTAATAGCAAGACTTTTAGTTTTTGTTTTTTTAAAAATGCACCTAGCAAGCACACAGTGGCTTGATTTTAGCAGAACCTTTTAGCCCTCTTTCTAGGTTCAATTTTAATTGTGACAACTGTTCACCTTGATTTTATATGTCAAAAAAATTAATGTTTAAAATTCCCAAATGACTCTTTACAATTTGACTCTCTTTGGGCACCCATGTAGAAGAGGCTAATGTGTTTTCAACTTCCAAGGCTGCAATCCAGGTTACAGTGCTTCCTTGCAGAAGAGCTGCTACAGTACTCTTAACTCCATCCCTGGCACATGCAGGTGGGATGGCATAGCACCCACAATCCTCCTCCTCTAGTCAATGCCACATTAAAGTTATATCTGGGAGACAGGGAGGTGCATGCAGACCTCTTGAATATACACATGCCAAAGAGGTAGGAAATGAACCCAAACAGCTACTTCATTCTCCTGTTGGATACCTTACTTGTTAGAAATCTCTCTTGAAAGAATAGTTTCAAGGTGAACGTAAGCAACTTATAGTTTTATACTTGGGGTTAGATGTGGCTGAAATATTTCTTCTGAGCCTCTGCAAATTAAAGGTGACGATTCTAAACATGCATGCATGGTAAAATAATTGAATTTCAATTTTTCTTTTCAAATTGTGTTCTAATGACAGGTATGTGTTGACTTGAGCAAAGAAGCTAATATCATGTAGGATTGTACCCGATGGCAAGACTGTTGTTTTTAGGGAGGCTGATTCCTCTCCTGAGCTCTGAACACGGCTTTATTCAACATGAATAACAGATGTTCTATATCACACTAGCTGTGTTGAATGGTATATTTCAAAATGGTTTTTGATTCTCTGCTTCTGTTTGTTGAAGATTAAAAATAAACCATTTTTGGAAAATACTTGTTAAAAGTACTCCCTGCAGAAGTGAAGTTGCCGTTTTGGACCTGCTTATTATTCACTAGCTCCCAGAATAATGTGCAATCCAAACTCTCGATCTGCCACAATAGGTGTCTTGATGTAGCTCAGCCAGAGCAAGTCCCCCACCCACTGTAACCTAAGTTGGTGCAAAGTCATCGCCCCCCAAGGGAAATGACCAGGGCAAGGAGATACATCTATGCCAAACCCTTTTCAGGTCAGTCTCGTGACCTAGGGCCCAAACTCCCACCCACACTCATCAGCCAGCAGTAGCACCTTCCAAAGTGTTCTATTCAGAGTTTGGATAGGAATAAGAACTCCTTAGAGCCAGGATTATCTTGTACACATTATATTTCATGGTTTCAGAACTCGGAGAACTAGGCAAAGATTTTATACACACACACACACACACACACACACACACACACAGAGGTACCTCAGTTTACACACGCTTCGGGTTACATACGCTTCAGGTTACAGACTCCGCTAACCCAGAAATAGTGCTTCAGATTAAGAACTTTGCTTCAGGATGAGAACAGAAACTGTGCTCCAGCAGCGCGGCGGCAGCAGGAGGCCCCATTAGCAAAAGTGGTGCTTCAGGTTAAGAACAGTTTCAGGTTAAGAACGGACTTCCGGGTTAAGCACTTAACCCGAGGTACCACTGTGTGTGTGTGTGTGTATATTTAAAAACAACACCTGAGAACAAGAAGCAAACATTGGTACTTAATGCAATAAGTTCCTTCCCTGTAGAGAAGAAGGGGATCCTGTGTGGGTTTGTCAATGCTCACCTCTCGACGGGCAGGCAGTCAAAATTTTGAGCAGGTACGTATACCTGGTGGGCAAGGGTACATCCTTTGCCAGTTCAATTTGTGCTTAAGCAAGTAACTGAATAGTCAAAAATAAGCGATGGAAGAGGAAGAGGAAAAAACAACTTGTAGCCACTCTGTGCCAGCAAATCCCTGGGGCCAAGTCCCAAGAGGCCCTAATGGTTGCTGTATAAGGGTAGCACAGATGGAGAACGAGAAGAAACCCTGGTATGGGCTTAGGAGAAGGGGAGGGGAGGTTGATCCTCAAATCTATGTATCCAATAGCCTTCCCCCACCAACTGTCACTTGGGAGGTGTCAGGTCCAGAACGCTGTCGAGGCAGCTGTGCTCCTGGTGAAATGGGATGTGATGCCCAAAAGAGCCACCCACCCAGGGGGCCCTGGCAAAGAGTGACCTGCAGTTGAACTGCTGAGGGGGTTGCCCTGCCCACCAGGCATACCCCTTGAAAGTTTGACTTCCTGCCAGTGGAGAGCTGGGCACTGACAACCCACACAGGATCCTCTTCCTCCACTATTGAAGAACCAGAAAAAAAATTAAATAGATAGTCCCAGTTGTTGAGTTTAGTATTTGTCAACACAGACAAGCAGCAGCTCTCCTGAGATTGTTAGGTCTTTCCCAATCTATGTAGAGATGCCAGAGACTGGACCTGGGACCTTCTGCCTGCATAGCTAGTGCTCAAACACAACCAAAAAAAGCAGCACAGAGACCAACTTTGTAGCCTGACTTGAGGACTAAGCAGAAATACAGTGGTACCTCGCAAGACGAATGCCTCGCAAGACAAAAAACTCGCTAGACGAAAGGGTTTTTTGTTTTTTGAGCTGCTTCGCAAGACGATTTTCCCTATGGGCTTGCTTCGCAAGACGGAAACGTCTTGCAAGTTTGTTTCCTTTTTCTTAACACCGTTAATACAGTTGTGACTTGACTTCGAGGAGCAACTCAGAACGCGGTGTGGTAGCCTTTTTTTGAGGTTTTTAAAGACTTTGGTATTTTTGAAGCTTTCCCAAAACTTTCCCGACACCGTGCTTCGCAAGACGAAAAAAATCGCAAGGCGACAAAACTCGCGGAACGAATTAATTTCGTCTTGCGAGGCACCACTGTACTCTTAATATACATACATATCTGACACTGTGGTGCAGTTGATAGGGCGAGTGTGCAAAAGATCCACAGTTCTGTGCGCTAATTTTGGTTTCAGGAACTTTGAAGAGCTTTCTGGCAAGACCTGGCCAAGGAATTTATGATCACATATTTAAAACAAAAATGACCAAAGCTGCTTAGGAATGTTAGCTAAAGATTTTTATTATTATTTCTATACAATTGCTCAATACATGTTCATCCTTTTGGCATTACAGGCCCTCTGTCAACCTTTCCTGAAACTACAGTGCTGGGATTGTAGAAAATAAAAAGTTTAGAATCTTGGCTGATTTTTTAAAAACACACACAAAAGGGAGAGGAAGAGGGGAGAGTTAAAGTTAACTTTCAATGAAGACATGGAGAGCACAAAATTTAAAATTAGGTCGATAAGAACAAAGCCCCTCTCCAATATTAATCAATTCAGGACAAATTTACAGTTGTTTAACCAATGAATTTACCAACTTCACTAAAGTGTGCAGTGTAGCACAGATGTGGCAAACTAGATTGCTGTACACACAAATGGGATTTACAAATGGAAAATGATGTCAAGGTGGGAAAGGCGCATGCAAGCTTAATTTCTAACCAGATCTTGTTTAGAGCAGTGCTTCGTGTCATCTGGAGCACAAGCGACAATGGTTTAGGGACAACCCAAAGCTCATCTTTCTGTAACATGGCAGCTGCTTTGACAATCTGATGTGTATAAAAGCAAGTGCTCCATGGGGTACTCAACCACCCCTAGACAAAAACTAAGAGGGAAATATCCAAAAGGTGCTGTAATGCTGCATTTTGTCTTTCTACCACAGTTGGGGTGGGGGAAGGACACATAATCCTCGAAACACCCATAAAAGGCAGTCAAATGACTCGTAAGTATCAGACTCTGGATATTTTCCACTTGGTTGGTGCAACATTCATTTGTGGATAATTACCAGATGACATGGGAAGTATTAAAAGCATGCCACCGCCCTGCATGTTGCTCAATTTTAAGCAGCTCCCATGCTGCAAAAAAAGTGCTGGCATTAGGGCTTACCAGTTGTCTTTCAACAGCGATGCAAAACCAAGATGTTTTGCAGGCTATAGCTTACATCTAGCTGCCACCGTTAAGGAAGAGAGGAGTGCTCATCTAGCAGGCAGGGACCTAACTTTACTATACTGCCTCTTTTAAAAAGGCACTTGTGCTTCTGTTTCAAATAAAAACCACTTTACAATATTTTGTTATCGGGATGTTTCTTTTCCAGTTGAACTTTGAATTCAAACTCAGCTTTTCTTGCCCAGAAGATCGAAGTGTTCCCCTGCTCCCGCTTACAATAAGTTAGATTCTACAAGAGTATGAGAATATGAAAAAGCTGTAAAATGTATTTTTTTCTTTTTAAGAAATGGTTGAAAAGAAAAGCTAAGCTGTATACAGTTTGCAACATCAACAAAAACATCCAAAAAATGCATATAAAAACCATAGGAGGAAAATCTGCAACTCCTTTTTTCCCCATCATGACTATTACGACAAGTTTCTAGAATGCGCCACGATGTTAAAACGTAAAGCACAATTGCTTGGAATTGTGATCAATGAGCCACCTTAGGGGGGAAAATGGAACTACAGAAGTTACATTTTTAAAACTCTAGTTAAAGGGCTTGAAATATTCCATTATGATGCACTGCACCATTGTACTGACCCTATTATCACACAATCTACTGATTTTTGCTCCGATCACAGCTGAAAGACAATCAACAAGCTTCAAAGGATTTAACCCTTTTGGCTCACGTCACAGAGAATGTTCCTCTCAACTGTACAATAGAGTTTTCTTCTCTAGGAAATCTGTCTCGAGAAGTGGCCAAAATTGACTCTTCATGAAAAAAGTATGCACTGTTTACATGGAATGTATTAACAAAGTACAGTACATGCAGTTTTTTACACGGTGAACGAGTTTAGCAACAGGGCTGAGAAACCTTTTTCACAACAAGCTTGAGCGGATGGCGGTATGATAAAACCTTGGAAATGAAAACCGAAATAAGAACCCCCCCACAGACAGCTGCACTGGATCACCTGGTCGCTGTACACCTCACAAAACAGGAACCACGCAAGGGCTTCTCATGCCACTCCCACTTGTACCTTGGTAAGGGCAGGCTTTAGTTTTAGGTCATAGAGATTTGTCTATATTACAGATTTATTAGTCACTTCAATTCAAGTAGATTCTGTCCACACTGAGGCATTAGAAGTGTCAGATCTACCTTAGGGTTTCAGTCAGCTTCTAGAGCGCTACAGCTGGAACCAGGACAGGAAGCTCAAGTAAGTTAAGAAACCGGTTGGGCCCGCCACCTTGGCTCACGTCGACTTCTGGCGGTAGTGGAGAGTCAAGTCGCCACCACTCTTCCATATGAAGTGTTTGACGGTTCGAAGGTCCATATTTGGATCCAATACCTGTTCACACAAAACCAATTGGGTTTTTCCATCAGACTCTGATCCCTCTTAATTTTTTATTCCCTGGCACATATAGACATCCATTCTCTTCCTCCCTCCCCCGCCTCCTTAAGCATCTCTCAGATGGTACACCTGAGTGTACCTAGGTATACAGGCACAGGCCTCAGGATAGCTCAGATGATTAGAGTGGTGCTGATAACACAAAGGTTGCAGGTTTGATCTCCATAAGGGACAGCTGCAAATTCTTGCCTTGCAGGGGTTGACTAGGTGATAGGCTCCCTTCCAGCTCTGTGATTCTATATCCCACCATCTGTTATGAAAAAAGCAATATCCACGTGTCTCCCCTCTCAAGCATGCGTCTTTTATTTCTCTGTCAGCCATTAGAAGGCTTGTGCTAGGACTGCAACCCAAATTTTGGCCACAGCAGCTCATTTTATGCGCCAGAGGTCCCCAAATTCAGCAGTCACCCAGGTACAAGGGCTGTTGGGGCTTTGCAAAAGCAGCAACATCATCTTCCTTATGACAGGTTTTTCCTGTTCAGGCTGCCTATTTTGGCTACATTACATGACCCAGAGGACATTCAAAGGCATTCAGATTCCCAAGTCTGCTTTAAG